AGAACAATAAAACCAAATGGACAATAGCAACAGTAAAAACAGTAACAATAAAACAGATAAAATCAACAGGAGGCAGCATACAATAAATGCAGATTTTTGGACAGCACCGTAATTTAGCAGATGGGATCTATGTAAGAAAGCACATTATTTCACTTTTTCTTTTAAAAAAGAAAGAGGGAAATTAGAGGAATAGAGCAGGGGTAGGCAACCTAAGGCCCGGGGGCCGGATGCGGCCCAATCGCCTTCTAAATCTGGCTCGCGGACAGTCCAGGAATCAGCATGTTTTTACATGAATAGAATGTGTCCTTTTATTTAAAATGTGTCTCTGGGTTCCTGGGTTCATGGGGTCTGCCTGGTGTTTTTACATGAGTAGAATGTGTGCTTTTATTTAAAATGCATCTCTGGCTTATTTGTGGGGCATAGGAATAATAATAATAGTAGTAGTAGTAGTAGTAATAATAATAATAATAATAATAATAATAATAATAATAAATTTATACCCCGCCCATCTGGCTGGGCTTCCCCAGCCACTCTGGGTGGCTTCCCCAAAAAATTATTAAAATACTGTAATACATCAAACATTAAAAACTTCCCTAAACAGGGCTGCCTTCAGATGTCTTCTAAAAGTCTGGTAGTTGTTGTTCTCTTTGACATCTGGTGGGAGGGCGTTCCACAGGGCGGGCGCCACTACCGAGAAGGCCCTCTGCCTGGTTCCCTGTAACTTGGCTTCTCGCAGTGAGGGAACCGCCAGAAGGCCCTCGGCGCTGGACCTCAGTGTCCAGAATTCGTTCATCCCCCCCCAAATGGCCTGAGGGACGGTGGGGTCTGGCCCACCACATGGCCTTAGGGATGGTGGACCAGCCCACGGCTGAAAAAGGTTGCTGACCCCTGGAATAGAGAAATGTAGGCACTCCCCCCCACACACACTTGACATCACCCAATAAAAGTGATTAGTAGTAGGTTCTGAAAAAAGTATTTCCTTATATGTTTTGCTGACTTCTTGACTTTAAGGACATAGGAAGCGTTCTTATGCTGAGTCAGATGGACCATGGGCCCATTTTGTTTAGTATTGTCCACACCAGGCTCTGTGCAGCAGAGAAAAACATCAGGCCAGCAGTTCTGCTTTTGACTGACAACGAGCCCCCTCTCCTTTCTGAAACGTTTTCTCCAAAACATCAGTCATGATTCCTTTCCCCCTTGCCTTTCCAATCTGTAAAAACCCTACTCTTATGAAGCAAAGTCAGGCTCATTGTCAGTCAAAAGCAGAATTGCTTGCCTGGCATTCATTCTCTTTAGTGTCACCACCAGGAAGTAACCACCAAGAACTGAGCATGCCACAAACCCTTTTGCAAACGTAAAGCCAGCTGGTAATGACTTAAAAACACAGGTTAGGCTTCTTCTTCTTCTTCAGCGTGGATCATGAGGGAATTTCCCCTTATCTCTTTCCCCAAATATGACATCTTGTACTTTGTGTACACTGGCAAACCCATGCGGAGAATGGTTGACACGATGACCCTTTTAATCCAGCCTCATTCTCTTCCTCAAGCCCACCAGTGAATGCCATGCATGGTTTGCATACAACACAATAGGGGTATGAGGAAAGCTTATTATTCCTTTGAGCCACCAGAGATTGCAACAAAGGAAGGCCAGACGTCAAACCGCATACTTGGCTCCCACGTACCATAAAACATAAGGCATGGGCACTGGTTTCCCCATTTTAGGGCCTGAGTTGTACAATGTTGATTTTGTGCAGTGCATTTAACAGGAATGCATATAACTTAGGGAGCAGTCATTGTGCTGCCTTGCAGATGTCGTTGGACTCCAAGTCCCATCATTCTTCACCACTGGCTGTGCTAGCTAGGGCTGATGGGAGTTGGAGTCCAACAACATCTGGGGAACACCCCATTAGCCCCTCCTGGTGGCGCTGTGGTCTAAACCACTGAGCCTCTTGGGCTTGCCGATCAGAAGGTTGGCAGTTCGAATCCCCACAATGAAGAGAGCTCCCGTTGCTCTGTCTTTCTGTTAGATTTTGGTAATTACATTTAGAGGCGCCTGTCGTCCACAGACCTGAAAGCTTTTTCTGTAAATGAGACTTGGAAACCAGAAGTTGCCTTTTAAATAAACCTGGAAAAGTTGCAGGTGCTCCCGTTGCTCTGCCCCAGCTCCTGCCAACCTAGCAGTTCGAAAGCATGCCAGTGCAAGTAGATAAATAGGTACCGCTCTGGCGGGAAGGTAAATGGTGTTTCCGTGCACTCTGGCACTCATCACGGTGTCCTGTTGTGCCAGAAGCTGTTTAGTCATGCTGGCCACATGACCCAGAAAGCTATCTGCAGACAAACGCCAGCTCCCTCATAGTCGCCTTTGACTGGACTTAACCATCCAGGGATCCTTTACCTTTTACCTAGTTCTGGATGAGCAACAGAATATGTAGCAGACCATGACCACGAACCTCCATCTCACAACAGACTACTTTGGAAACTGAATAAAAGAGCAGATTGTGATATGGCATTTTTATATTTTAAATTATATACCATCTAACTCATGTGGGGATGCGGGGGGCACTGTGGGTTAAACCATAGAGCCTAGGACTTGCCGATCAGAAGGTCAGCGCTTCAAATCCCCGCGATGGGGTGAGCTCCCGTTGCTCGGTCCCTGCTCCTGCCAACCTAGCATTTCGAAAGCACGTCAAAGTGAAAGTAGATAAATAGGTACCGCTCCAGCGGGAAGGTAAACTGTTTTTCCATTCGCTGCTCTGGTTCACCAGAAGCAGCTTAGTCATACTGGCCACATGACCCGGAAGCTGTACGCCAGCTCCCTCAGCCAATAAAGCGAGATGAGTGCCGCAACCCCAGAGTCAGTCACGACTGGACCTAATGGTCAGGGGTCCCTTTACCTTTATCTCATGTAATGGAACTCAAGGGAGTAGAAATGTGGCTCCCAAACCAGTCACTCATCCAAGCACTGGCCAAACCTAGATCTGCTTAGCATCAGAATCATAGAATCATAGAATCATAGAATCATAGAGTTGGAAGAGACCACAAAGGCCATTGAGTCCAACCCCCTGCCAAGCAGGAACACCATCAGAGCACTCCTGACATATGGTTGTCAAGCCTCTGCTTAAAGACCTCCAAAGAAGGAGACTCCACCACACTCCTTGGCAGCAAATTCCACTGTCGAACAGCTCTTACTGTCAGGAAGTTCTTCCTAATGTTTAGGTGGAATCTTCTTTCTTGTAGTTTGGATCCATTGCTCCGTGTCCGCTTCTCTGGAGCAGCAGAAAACAACCTTTCTCCCTCCTCTATGTGACATCCTTTTATATATTTGAACATGGCTATCATATCACCCCTTAACCTCCTCTTCTCCAGGCTAAACATGCCCAGCTCTCTTAGCCGTTCCTCATAAGGCATCGTTTCCAGGCCTTTGACCATTTTGGTTGCCCTCCTCTGGACACGTTCCAGTTTGTCAGTGTCCTTCTTGAACTGTGGTGCCCAGAACTGGACACAGTACTCCAGGTGAGGTCTGACCAGAGCAGAATACAGTGGCACTATTACTTCCCTTGATCTAGATGCTATACTCCTATTGATGCAGCCCAGAATTGCATTGGCTTTTTTAGCTGCCGCGTCACACTGTTGGCTCATGTCAAGTTTGTGGTCAACCAAGACTCCTAGATCCTTTCCACATGAAGGCATCAGCAAATGCCTTCAAATCAAACTCTGGGGTTTTTCGTTTGGGGGCGCTCCTGGTTCCATCTCCAGAAGCTACAGGATGACTGGCTGCAGATAAACCACTTTAAGGACCCCAAAGGGAAATGAGCCTGTCTGCATTTTGCTAACTCCTTAACGGCTGATGTATAAACGACACAGACAAAATGAGCTTGAGGGTTTCCTAAGTGCTTCAGAAAAAACCACTGTGTGTCAGAAAGCGCTTTCTATTAGATTTTGGTAATCACATTTAGAGTGACTTGAGGCGCCTGTCGCCCACAGACCTGGAAGCTTTTTCTGTAATTGTGACTCGGAAACCAGAAGTATAAAATCTTCCCTTTAAAATAAACCTGGAAAAGATGGAGCCGGACTCTCTCCTGAAGGTGTTCTGTGTTTCTTCTAAAAGTAGGTGTTTTGAAGGAGCTGGGTAACTTTGGAAGAGGGAATCTCAAGAGTGGCTTATATTTGGCAGTGTTTTTCCATCTCTGTTGTCCCACGGACTCATCAGTAAACTTTTGCATACTTTGTCGACAGTTTGCTTTTGTTTGCCAAAGGTTACTGCTGGTCACTCTGAGCAAAACAGAAAGGAACTCATGCAGTGCCAAAGAAAATTATAGTGCCCAGTGGCATCGGGAAGGAGCAGAAAGCCACTGTGTGGCCTCTCAGAACTATGTACTACTTTGATTCTTGTCTACTTCTAATTTGTCTTTTCTCCAAGCCATAGTCCACCTAAGCTTAGGGTCTCCTACAAACCCACTATTCCCCTTTCTTCCTTCATGCATGCGAAGGGGAGGCTCACATCTTCTAGTTTACTTTTAACCACTCCACAATTCCTCAACATTTCCAAAATTGGGGAACTGTGATTTGCTCTCACTATTGTTAGTTAAAAAACAGAGTATCAAACTCACTTTCTAGTGTCATCTAAATTGGAGTGGCAGGGGTAGAATCATAGAATCGTAAAGTTTGAAGAAACCCAGGGGTCATCTAGTCCAACCCCCTGCAATGCAGGGTGGAGAATCATGTGTCCTTGGAGAGTCATATTCTCTTGAAGGTAGTGTGTTGGAGGTCCCATCCTGGCTGTGGGCAGGGCTAAAGCTTGTGGTGGACAGCCCCAGAAGTGGGCAAAACCCATATTTTTTCTCCTACACTTTCTACCACCCTCTTCCCTCCCTTTCCGTTCAGTGGACTGCTGGAGAATGGACAAATCACTCTTGCCATTTGCTTGAACTGATAGCTTGCAGAGGGAAATTTGAAAGTCACTTGCAGAATGAGGGTTTGAGGAAGTGCAGGGATTTTTAAGGGGTGGTCAGCTCCTCCCAGGAAATGACAACAGGAGGTGACACAGGCCAAGCAGACCAAGGGCTGCAGGTTGTCCATTCATTATGCTCTGTGGCATGTTGATCAAGATACAAACTTGCCTCTGGTCATGCTTCCGCTTCTGAAATGAAAGAATGCAGTGGTGTCACTCTCTGTTCACATGGAGCAAAATCAGAGCCATACTTCTCTTGACTATGTGAGCTGGAAATTGTTCACAGGAATCATATGATTTGCACGGCCGAAAGCATTCACTCATCACATGTAAGGAAGTGAGGGAGCCTCCTCCTGCTGATTGCCAGCTGATATTAGAGGCCTCACCCCACCCCACCCGTTCATATACTCTCAAAGGTTTTTGAAACAACAAGATTGTTTTGTGATTACATTTCCGATAAATGCACACTGCCTGAAATACAGCTGGGATTTGGTCAACTATACAGAAGAAGAGAGTACTGAATACAGTGGTACCTCGGGTTACATATGTTTCAGGTTACATACGCTTCAGGTTACAGACTCCGCTAACCCAGAAATAGTACCTCGGGTTAAGAACTTTGCTTCAGGATGAGAACAGAAATCGTGCTGTGGCGGCACGGCGGCAGCAGGAGGCCCCATTAGCTAAAGTGGTGCTTCAGGTTAAGAACAGTTTCAGCTTAAGAACGGACCTCCGGAACGAATTAAGTACTTAACCCGAGGTACCACTGTATAGAAAGGTAAAGGAGCCCCTGACCGTTAACTTCAGTTGCGGACGACTCTGGAGTTGCAGTGCTCATCTTGCTCTATAGGCCAAGGGAGCCAACATTTGTCCTCAGACAGTTTCAGGTCATGTGGCCAGCATGACTAAGCCGCTTCTGGCGAACCAGAGCAGCACACGGAAACACTGTTTACCTTCCCACTGGAGCGGTACCTATTTATCTACTTGCACTTTGACATGCTTTTGAACTGCTAGGTGGGCAGGAGCTAGGACCGAGGAATTGGAGCTCACCCCATCGCGGGGATTTGAACCGCCGACCTTCTGATCAGCAAGTCTTAGGCTCTAAGGTTTAGACCACAGTGCCATCCACATCCCGAGTGAATATATATTCAGTAGTAAATATATATCTCTATTTTTGGGGGAGTGGAAATAGAGATATATATTTACTACTGAATATATTCAGTAGTAAATATATATCTCTATTTCACCCCCCCAAAAAAAAATAATTAAGCATTAATTAGAAACTGACCTGTCACTCACTGTTGACTTTATTTTGCCCTTTGTTCTCTGCTTTGAAGTCATGCACATCGGCATCTGATTCTGGGAATTTAATGTTTTTAAAAAGCACACATTCCTCTGTAAGGCTGAAAAACAAAGATCACAACAGTGTTCACTGCTGACAAATTATGTAGGAGACAGCAGGTGTCCACAGAGATGTCCTTCGGGATTCTGTTTTGTTTTGCCATTGCAATTAGGCAGCTTCCTTGTATACTTTTAGTAGCATTTTTACATAACTATAACAATAAATTGGCCAATTGTGGTGATTCTGAGACATTTAAACCCAGCCTGAATAGCTGTGGTCAAACCAAAGTGTGGATGAGCCCTTTGTCTGGTTGCCTACCAGGGAGATCCAAAATAGGTGGAATGAGATCTTCTGCTAGACTGGCTACCAGGGACAAGGAACTATGCAAGTTACCGGGCGATACAGCTCTCCTGGAATGTTGCAGAGTTCTGAGTAACGTGAAAACTTCCCTATTTTGGAGCAAAAGCAACTGATCCAATGAAATATAGCAAATAATTATCTGGTTAGTTTTTCCCCTTCAAAGGCCAGAGGCAGCACCAGCTGTTTGCTCCAAAGACCTGTAATCACTGGCATCAGTGCATAACAGATTTTTTCATTGTATCATTCTATATTCATTCTGCTTCTCTCTCCCACCTGCTGTGGAAAAACAGGGGAGCGGGCTATTGAGGGTCTCTGATTAGAACAGGCTATTAGAGCACACAATTTGCATTCTGAAAGATAATTTGGTGGAGGGCTGAGGTTATGGGAAAGCTCACAAGCAGATGCTTTCTGCAACAGGGAAGCGAAAAAACGGCCCCATTGTAGATAATATGACCTTGAACACAGGAAGGGCAATTTTCCTGCTTGCCTTTTGGCTTGGTTCCTACAGCTTTACAGATACATAAGATACACCCCACCCCCAAACCTTCCGCATGGGGTTGCAAGTCAATCTGGACCTCATACTTGCACTCATACAAATCTGCCTTTCAAATTGACCCTGCAAGTGCAAGGTAAAGGTACCCCTGCCCGTACGGGCCAGTCGTGTCCGACTCTAGGGTTGTGCGCCCATCTCACTTAAGAGGCCGGGGGCCAGCACTGTCCGGAGACACTTCCGGGTCCCGTGGCCAGCGTGACGAAGCTGCTCTGGCGAGCCAGCACCAGCGCACGGAAATGCCGTTTACCTTCCCGCTATAAAGCGGTACCTATTTATCTACTTGCACTTAGGGGTGCTTTCGAACTGCTAGGTGGGCAGGAGCTGGGACCGAAAGACGGGAGCTCACCCCGCCGCGGGGATTCGAACCGCCGACCATGCGTTCGGCAAGCCCTAGGCGCTGAGGTTTTACCCACAGCGCCACCCGCGTCCTGTACCAATCTGCAAGTGCAAGAGTGAAGGAAAACATTGTCTGAAGGTTTTCCCAGATTGATCTAAGGATAATAGCCTCGTACCAAATTGAGCTCATCCCACAAGTTGTTAGTAAAGTCACTTAAATAACTCTGACAGAGTCCAAAGAGGAGAATCCTGATAGCATGTTACTGAGCAAGGTGAACAAAAGCAGAGCATAATCTGAGGTGAAAGGAAAGAGGTTTGTCTTTTGGGCTCAGGCCTTGTACAGGGCAGGGAGACATTCAATCAAGCACACAGAAGAAAAAACCTCATAGCCAATCAGAGCATGTACTACCTCACTGAAGAACATGCCACTGTGCCTCATTGCTACTAAGCAACACTGCCACCGGCCTCTTGGTTAGCTGCTGAATGTTATCGGCTGTTGCACTTCCAGCACAACTCACACATTTTGTGACCTGCCTATGGCTTGGCAGCCTCCTTGTTCTAGGCAGGCAGCAAAAAATGAGAGTTTTATTGAGGCCTTGATAGGCTTTCATACCTGGCTAGTATGCTGTATCTGATTAGGTGGATCTTAAACTGTGCAGGTTTGATGAACAGGATCCTAAGTTCCCACCAGGTTTTATTCTCAGACTAAGCTCCGTAAAAGTTTTTGTTGACAATCATTCCTCATAGGCAGTTTTCATTTGAAGTGACCTGGTAGACTCCTTAGATGACAATCTTCACTGGAAAGTGGCTGATGTATGATGAGGCTGCTCAAGTGGCAAGTCTGGCAAAGCTGGAGGTTGTTACTCAGTCTTTCCAAATCCCTTTCCTAAAAATATCTTTCCTAAACTGCATATTTTACTTCTAAGAATGTTGTTGGTACGTGCTGTGCTCAATTCCTCCAGTGTCACAAGCACCAACTGCACGGTGCCCATGATGTCACTGCTGACAAGCCACAAACTCCCCTCCCTTCATGTCTTTCTCCCAAAACATTACAAATAAGATAGTGGCAATTTTACTCATACACTACTGGAATCAGCAGAGCCTGCTGTGGCCTCTCTGGACACACGGGGCCTGTTCTTTGCTCTTAGGATCCTGTTTAGAGCTTTGGGCATGATCACGAAGAGTCGATCGGAACTGAATCCAGTTCCAGTTTCCAGGGGAAGGGCAACATACCCTCCAGCATTTCTCAGATGAAAATAGGGATGTCCCATTCCATAATGATAATTCTACTATTTATACCCCACATATCTCACTGGGTTGCCCCAGCCACTCTGGGCACCTTCCAACATATATAAAAACATAATAAAACATTAAATATTAAAAAACCTTCCCTATACAGGACTGACTTCAGACAACTCGGAGGTCGAATAACTCCATACCCTCCAACATTTCTCCAATGAAAATAGGGATGTCTTAAGGAAAAGTGGGACATTCCAGGATCAAATCAGAAACTGGGATGGTTTAAGGGAGCCCTTTAAGGGAGCCCTTGTCACTGAAGTTCTTTCCATACGCCAAACATTTCTAAGATTTCATTCCTGTATGAGTTCTTTGGTGTCTAGTAAGGCTTCTACTGCAACTGAAGCTTTTTCCACGCTCCAAACATTTATAAGGTTTCTCTCCTGTGTGCAGTCTTTGCTGCAAGGTAAGGCTGCAACTGTGGCTGAAGCTCTTTCCACACTCCAAACATGTATATGAATCCTTTGATGCTGGAAAAGGGAGTCTATGCAACTGAAGCTGTCCCTGGAAAATAGGGACACTAGGAGGGTCTGGGACAAGGAGAAGGTTGGGATTAAAGAGGACTGGAGGGGGTAAGGTGTTGGAATCCTTGGAGCAGAATTTGTCCTATTTAGGAAGGTTGATATGGCATAATTTGTCCAACCGTCATCCTGATTCCTAGCATGAGCAGGAAGCTCTGGTAATGGTCAGAAAGAGATATTCAGTTTCCGTATGTCCACCCCATCCCACAAATCCTTGCTCAGATCAAACACTTCCATGCCTCTGCCCTCTCCCCATCTCTGAGAGGTAAAGAGGGATAGAGGTGGGGGGGAGGAGGAGGATGGCTCTGTCCACTTCTTGCTTTGACAATAAGTAACCAAACAATTAAACCCTTGTGTTGCAAACAAATTTCAGTAATATCCAAAGGCAACACGATGACCAAGTACAACAATGTGATGTCAATATAAACTCTTTATATAATCTATACAGAACATTGAACAATATGAAATATATGAAATATGCACTCTCTGCAAAACCAAATAAACAGAAATCTTCTAAATCTGTGAAAGTCACAGAATATGACACTCTTGATGGATTCTCTTGGAAACATAGAACCAAATAAACATAAGTCTTATAGGTCTCTGAAAGTCTTTGCGGGCTATGCAAGTCTCTGAGAGAAGCAATAGGTCAGATTCTTATCTGGTGAAAACAAGCCGTAAAGCTTTGTTTTATGACATCCAACGCTGCCGAAGTGGTCCGCAAACAGACGTGGTGAACAGTGATTTTGGATATACCCACTGTTTCGTGGAATTCTTCTTCAGCACAGCAGAAGGATACAGAAATGCTTCATAAACTGCAATTGAATTATTGAAACGATGACCTGCATATACATGGTAACTTACAATAACTCAAATTATTATAAACTATACACATGAACTATAATGCCAATTCAATATGAAATAAAACCAAAAGTACGTACCCCATCTATGAAAGACTTGGAAGAGATAAGAAATGAAAGTGACAGGGGAAGGCTTTCAGGGCTTGTGTGGATTCACATTCCAGGGCACAATGGCATCCACCTAGGAAGTGCACTCTACCTACCAGATTTAGCCATTGCTCTAGGATGCTAGTCCAGCAGGGAATGGCCAGACACAGACACTGTGGCTTCCCAGTCATAAAGATGCCCATGTCAATAGTGCTTTAGACCGAACATAGCAATTATTTTCCCAGTTCAAGGGAGAGTCGGGCTGTGGATGGAGCAGTGAGGATAGATAGCAGCGAGGGCGACCAAGGCGATCAAGAGTCTGAAAACCAAGCCTTATGAGGAATGGTTGAAGGAACTGGGTATGTTTAGCCTGGGAAAGAGGAGACCGAGAGAAGATGCGATAGCCATCTCTAAATATCTCAAGGACTATACCTTGGAAGATGAGACCCATCCTGAGACTTGTGGGTATAGGGCAGTATACAAATTTAATTAATAATAATAATAATAATAATAATAATAATAATAGCAATCAGATGAAGCAAATTTGTTTTCTGCTGCTGAACCAAGGACCTGAACCAAAGGATTCAACTTACAAGAAAGGAGATTCCGACTAAGCCTCAGGAAGGACTTTCTAACAGTAGGGGTTATTTGACAGAGGAATGTTCTCATAGAATCATAGAATCATAGAGTTGGAAGAGACCACAAGGGCCATCGAGTCCAACCCCCTGCCAAGCAGGAAACACCATCAGAGCACTCCTGACATATGGTTGTCAAGCCTCTGCTTAAAGACCTCCAAAGAAGGAGACTCCACCACACTCCTTGGCAGCAAATTCCACTGTCAAACAGCTCTTACTGTCAGGAAGTTCTTCCTAATGTTTAGGTGGAATCTTCTTTCTTGTAGTTTGGATCCATTGCTCCGTGTCCGCTTCTCTGGAGCAGCAGAAAACAACCTTTCTCCCTCCTCTATGTGACATCCTTTTATATATTTGAACATGGCTATCATATCACCCCTTAACCTCCTCTTCTCCAGGCTAAACATGCCCAGCTCCCTTAGCCGTTCCTCATAAGGCATCGTTTCCAGGCCTTTGACCATTTTGGTTGCCCTCCTCTGGACACGTTCCAGTTTGTCAGTGTCCTTCTTGAACTGTGGTGCCCACAACTGGACTCCAGGTGAGGTCTGACCAGAGCAGAATACAGTGGCACTATTACTTCCCTTGATCTAGATGCTATACTCCTACTGATGCAGCCCAGAATTGCATTGGCTTTTTTAGCTGCCGCGTCACACTGTTGGCTCATGTCAAGTTTGTGGTCAACCAAGACTCCTAGATCCTTTTCACATGTACTGCTCTCAAGCCAGGTGTCACCCATCTTGTATTTGTGCCTCTCATTTTTTTGCCCAAGTGCAATACTTTACATTTCTCCCTGTTAAAATTCATCTTGTTTGTTTTTGCCCAGTTCTCTAATCTGTCAAGGTCGTTTTGAAGTGTGATCCTGTCCTCTGGGGTGTTAGCCACCCCTCCCAGTTTGGTGTCATCTGCAAATTTGATCAGGATGCCCTTGAGTCCATCATCCAAGTCGTTGATAAAGATGTTGAATAAGACCGGGCCCAAGACAGAACCCTGTGGCACCCCACTAGTCACTCTTCTCCAGGATGAAGAGGAACCATTGATGAGCACCCTTTGGGTTCGGTCAGTCAGCCAGTTACAAATCCACTGAGTGGTAGCATAGTCAAGACCGCATTTTACCAGCTTCTTTACAAGAATATCATGGGGCACCTTGTCAAATGCCTTGCTGAAATCAAGGTAGGCTACATCCACTGCATTCCCTTCATCTACCAGGCTTGTAATTCTGTCAAAAAACGAGATCAGGTTTAGTCTGACATGACTTATTTTTCAGAAATCCATGCTGACTATTGGTGATCACAGCATTCCTTTCTAGGTGCTCACAGACTGTTTGCTTAATGATCTGCTCCAGAATCTTCCCTGGTATTGATGTCAGACTGACTGGGCGGTAATTATTTGGGTCCTCTCTTTTCCCCTTTTTGAAAATAGGGACAACATTTGCCCTCCTCCAGTCTGCCGGGACTTCGCCTGTTCTCCAGGAATTCTCAAAGATGACTGCCAGTGGTTCTGAGATCACATCTGCCAGTTCTTTTAATACTCTTGGATGCAGTTCATCTGGCCCTGGAGACTTGAATACATCTAAACTAGCCAAGTATTCTTGTACTATCTCCTTAGTTATGCTGGGCTGTGTTTCCTCTGCTGAATCATTTGCTCCAAATTCTTCAGATCGGGCATTGTTTTCTTTATTGGAGAAGACTGAGGCAAAGAAGGCATTGAGGAGTTCAGCCCTTTCTGTGTCCCCTGTTTGCATTTCACCATCTTCTCCTCTGAGTGACCCCACTGTTTCTTTGTTCTTCCTTTTGCTACGAACATACCCATAAAAGCCTTTTTGTTGCTTTTAACCTCTCTAGCAAGCCTGAGTTCATTCTGTGCTTTAGCTTTTCTGACTTTGTGTCTACACGTGCTGGCTATTTGTTTGAATTCCTCTTTGGTGGTTTCCCCCCTTTTCCATTTTTTGTACACATCCTTTTTTAATCTTAACTCAGTTAAAAGTTCTTTAGATAGCCACCCTGGCTTCTTTAGGCACCTTCCATGTTTCCGTCTCATTGGTATTGCCTGAAGTTGTGCTTTTACTATCTCCCTCTTAACAAACTCCCAGCCATCATGAACTCGCTTTCCTTTTAGTATTACTGTCCATGGGATCTCACCCAGCACTTCCCTAAGTTTTATGGGAGGTGGTAGACTCTCCTTCCTTAAAAGTTTTTAAGCAAAGGTTGGGTGGCCACCTGTCATGTATGCTTTAA